AAGATGAAATTAAACTGCAAAAAATGAAACATAGGCGTCTGATTTTATTGAAACAAGTGTAATTTTCATTTAATTTGAGCAGGTAAGTAAAACATTTCATCAACGGAATAAGAAAAAAAAACTGATCTTATTTCAAGTCCATAATATCTATTTTATGCTAAGAGCGAGTACCTGTTTAAATGAAAGGAAAATTAACTTATTTTTTACTGCATTTTACATCAGGTCTCTCAGTGCAGGTAGACTTCTGGAGGTAAACCCACTTGTAATGGGTGTTTCCTTTTAGGGGGGGTCATAATAAAGGGTTATAAATACAGATAAATGTCAATATTTGCAGATGTGTTTGTTTTAAACATTTTAAGGCCTGAATTATTTTCCTTCCACTTACAGTTATAACCAGGGGTGATTCTAGGATCAGACCTTTATGGCTGCTGAGCACACAGAGAGCGTTTTCTGGCCAGGTGTGACAAATTTAACTGTTTTCTACATTTTTAAAACTTTGGCTTATTACTGATGCCATCATTCTCTAATGCATCATATCTGGGATTTTTGCCAAAAATCCGACAAGCAAAGCAGAAAGCAACATTTTTTGGAGAAGCATTTTCAACCATTTAAATGTTTTGAACCAGTTTTCATGAAAGGTTCTCTTTTCTGTGCTAAACTGAGTGACTGGGAGCTGGAGCGGTTTTAACTGTTCAGGATCAGTACTCTGATCCCCTAAATCAAAAGGCAGATTTTAAATTCCTTGTCTCTTGCTCCCTCTGGTTCTCCTCTTCTTCTCATCTCTCTGTTCTTCTCCTTATTGTTTAGTGAAGTTAAGCAAGTAGTAAAGCATGTAGATGATTAGGAAAATATAATTAGATAGTGAAGAAATAAATATATTTCTGAAAAATCAGCAATATTTTTTCTTAATGAAATGAGTCTAAAATGTTTTAATTATTGAGCAATCGGACTGAAATGTGAACAAAAATAATAAAGATGTTTTTAGACTGTGTTTTATCAGACGGTCTGACAGGAAGGCAGCCTGATCCACCCTCACCTGCGTGGCCGGTACTGATGTGGCTCTTCATGTCGCTCTCATCCATACAGACGAAGTCACAGACGCTGCAGCAGAGCGAGAACATCCACTGCTCCTTGTCCACATGACGCGACATGTGGCTGACAAACTGGGCATTCAGCTCCGTCTGGAAATCACACACATGGCAGCTGGACGGGGAACAGACAGCAGAAGGAAAAAAAATGGTGAGAATCAGAAAAAGGAGGCGCTCAGCTTTAGTGTTAGATTTGCCTGAATAAATTACCAAATCTATGCCGTCTGCATTCAATAGAGTTTGGATAAAAACAGCTTCAACTGAGGTCTGAAAACAGTTTGAATAATTATTACTTTCTAATGTAAATTTCTACAGTAGAACAGGAAATAGATCATATCTCTGCTATACTAGATTCTCTTCATTGGCTTCCTGTTAAATCCAGAAAATAATTTAAAATCCTGCTTCTCACATATAAAGCACTAAATAACCAAGCTCTTTCTTATATCAGAGATCTGATTGTTCCTTATGTTCCTAACAGAGCACTTCGCTCTCAATCTGCAGGTTTATCAGTGGTTCCTAGAATTGCTAAAAGTAGAATGGGAGGCAGATCTTTTAGTTATCATGCTCCTCTACTGTGGAACCAACTACTAGTTTTAGTCTGTGAGGCACCCTGTCTACTTTTAAGGCTAGGCTTAAAACTTTTCTTAAAACAGAGTGATGTTTGCTTAGTCGCTGGGTGAGTGGAGAGGTATATGAGCCCAGCCCATGGGGATAAATTCAGTGTAAAACCTGTATTTTTCAGTGTAGTCCTGTTTCTCTGACTGTGACTAAGTGTATGTCCTCTCTTTATCCTTTTGACATGGCTCGGACCTCATCTGCCTGGCTGTGTGGTTCCTGGATGGGGCCGCCTGTGGAGCTGATTGTCAGTTGCCTTTTCTATCTCTGCTTCTTTCCATTTCCTTGAATCCCAGTCGGCCTCAGCAGATGGCCGCTCACACTGAGCCTGGTTCTGCTGGAGGTTTCTTCCTGTTAAAAGGGAGTTTTTCCTCTCCACTGTCACTTTAAGCATGCTCAGTGTGAGGGATTGCAGAAGACTCAATGACAAAATGCAAGCGAAGTTCGTCGCCTCAGGCTTATCCAGGAGGAGCATGGCTTGCAAGTCAATGACTGGATGCAATCAGCTGGTTTTCCTAACCAATCTAACTGAATTGTGTCTTTAAAGAGCTTTGAGATGACTTGTGTTTTGAATTTCTGCTGTGAACATAGAATAAGGTTCTTTAAATGCAAAGTCATCTACAACATTTAATGAACTTTAATTAGCACTGCCTCTTTATGTCCTTGGTACTCGTTCTGTTCATGAGCATTAAATGAAATACCCATGTTCATTTAGAAATGTTGCATTAATGCCTTAAAATGAAAACAGGAAGCAAAAAGTTAATCTTCTCAAAAGGAAATCTGACAAAGGAGCTTTATCAGAGCACATCCTCTGGTTTACTAAACATAAGTCTGAAGCCCTGAACATGTTCAAGGCTTCAGACTCTGAATTGGAAAAAACAAATAAATAAATGATTCACTAATTCAAACTTTTTCTTTTCACAGTCTCTTATTTTGAAGGATCAGAGCAGGTTTCCTATAATGAACCCAAATTTAGAGGTGATGGTTTCAAGTATAACTCCATCCAATCATAAGGTGGCGCATTGATGCTCGCCCGCTCTCGTTTCATCACTCATTGGTACCGCTTATCAGCTGCTTTCCATGTTTTGCAAACGCTAACGTTAGCATTTTTCCAGACGAAAGCACAGATTTCCATGTTCCTCTGAGCTCCTTAGCTTCCTTCAGTCGAACCAACATTCTAAAGCTTCAGTGATCATTAATTTTTCTTCTTTTTCGTTTGTGTTGAATCTGAATGTAACATAGTGAGGAAGTCATTTCTCAGCTCTACCAGGGACTCCAACCTACTGTTCCTATTGGTGCAGAATCCTTTCATGTTGACGTTGGCATGGTAACCAGAGGAAAGTGTCTACGCATTTTGGACCCCTCCAGATTTATATTTTTAAACCTCTTTTATTGCATCCTATTTTTTCAGTGAAATGAATCCCTTTATTCTGCATCAGTCTAGATGCTCTGTTGACGGATTAGTTGAGAAAACTTCATCGTTTTATAAACTGATCCATGGATTTTCCTAACTGGCTTCAGTTCAGAGCGGGGTTATCTGAACTGGCTCCTGGTTGTAATTTTCAGATTCATAAATATACTTTTGTTTCATAATCATGACTTTAAATAATAAATCATGATGTAGAAAGTTGTTGTATGAGCCTGAATCTGCTTCAGAGGGTCAGAGGTCAGTCGGCGGGTCCGGCCTCCTTCCAGGTCTGTGTTTGGTGTGTGGAGCCTACCGGTAGTAGTACGGGCAGTTCTTGCGCTCGGTGGCGTCGGCGGTAACGGCGCTGACGATCTGCTCGGCGTCCGTGTTGACCAGCTTCACGGAGTGGATGGACAGGTGCTGATTGAGGTTTGCTCTGCACTTGGCTGCGTAAGGACACAGGTGACACTTGTATTTCCTCTCCTCTGTAACACACACACATAAACCAACCCCTTCCTCCCTTATTCAACGTGTTAAAGGATGTTTCTGTAAAACTAGATGGTAAAAAAAACAAAAACTAAATTTCTTTTTGTTTACACTCGTGTATAGAAAATGACAAAATAAATGTAAGTAAAAACAGAAAATCTGGGTTTTTATTCTTACTATAGAATCTCTGCAGAAACACCTTTCCTTTTATGTAAAAACAAATTAGCATAACAACACGTTTGCCCCCCCCCCCCACTCCGCCTCCAAAAACACTAACATACAACCCATTTGCCCCAAGGACATGGAGCCAGGCAACCTTTGTGTCGCCGGGGAAACCAAAAAGACCATCACTGTGACATATGCCCCTGCTTCTGCTCTCTGTGGTGTGGCCAAGCTGTTCACAGCCAGCGCTCTCAGATGGCCTGTGTGTGTGTTTGGTTGTGTGGGGACATTCGGTACACAAGTCTCCACTTGTGAGCTCTGGTGTCCCAAAAAGGCTCCATTTATCTGGCGTCCAGAGGAAACGCGCTTTTAAAGAAACAAGTAAGGTTGGATTATTATTAGAATCTGGGAACTAACGAGGAAGAAGAGGATGAGGTTGAATGGATCGATGGTAAAAACGCAGAGTAATCAGGTCACCAGGGAGCCAGGAGGATTGTGTGTGTGTGTGTGTGTAGAGTGGAGCAGTCAGAGCGGCATTAGGATGGTAAGTGTGCAGCATCCTTCAAGTCTGGTAATTAGACGGCGTTTTCCCAGAGAGACTAATCATGGTGGTAATCTCTTTAAAGAAAGGGTAATCTGGTCTGGTCAGCCTCATCTATTTACAAACAGCATCTATAGGTTAGAGGGAGAGGAGGGGGCTGGAGCAGAGACCCACCTGTGTGCAGGGACAGGTGTCTGGAGAGGGTCTGCTGCCTGCCGAACACCTTCCTGCAGATGGGACAGGGGAAGAGCTGCTCGTGGAGCTTCCACTGGGCCAGGCCGTTTCCGGGCTCCCCATCCTCCTTCTCCGGGTCTGAAACACAGACAGACGTCAGTCAGTCACAACTCACATCCACCTCGTCCGGAAATTATTTTCACCTCGGCTCCAGAGGCTGGAAGCTATTTTATCCAGATTTAATGAAACGGATCAAACAAACAGGAGGAAAATCTGTGGTATAAAGAGGCGCTAACAGCATCACATGGAGAACAAGCGTCCCGTGAGCAGGTCCAGGTCGGGTTCTGAGAACCGGGCCAACATGCCTTTCTCATTCGATACCCACAAAGTTTAATCCAGGGCACCAGATCAGCTGTTAGATCATCTACCCAACCCGCCTCTGTTTGCTATTGGCCTCTCCAGAACTTTCTGGCCAGGCTACCATGTTCTATGGTTCCTCAACCAATGGAACTTGTGGGGGCAGCTGTTACACTCTGGTTCATTTGGGGGCGTCACTAAAGGGCTGTTTCCAGCCTTCACCTGTGTTAGTGGGACGTCAGCAGATGATGCTCAGGTACAAATTCACAGACAGAGGTACTGAGAAGCAGAGAGAAAGATGGAAAACTGGGATGATAACTGATCATTAGGAAGAACTGTAAAGGTTCTCAGTTAGTTTAAAAGTACTTAAGGAGTCTGGAGCTAAAATTATGGTTTCTAGTTAACCACAGACTAATGTTATGATTTATGAACTCCTGAACAGCTACGGTGCCTAAAAGGCCTCAGTGGAGGCAAACTTCAGGCCATTAACTGAAATAAGTATTTTATCCTTTTCCTTGTTTTACCAGAAAATAAATACACAACATTATGATGATAAATCGAAGGAAAAAAACTAAATCATGGAAACAGGAACTTTTCACAGGAACAATACCCCCTAACGACCCCCCTTTCAGAGGCTTAGACCAGTATTGGGGACTGCAGGCTAACAAAAGCCATGACCTGTTCTTCTGGTTCAATTTGCATGTTTTCTAAGCCAAAACAAAGCTTTGTTTTTGGTCCACTCTATAAAGCCTCAAACTCAATGCTACTTCTGAGAATCTGAATTTCAAAATCTACCTGGATGGGAAGTGAAACATCTTCAAACTTGGAAACAAAGTCAAGTTGGTTTTTTTTTTTTTACTTTAATGGAAACAGGAAGCCTTCTGGCGCTCAGAGCTCCAAGCAGCTCAGTTCCCTCACTGTTAAGGAATCCTTTAAATGATTCCTAAATCTGGATCGTGATCCGGATCTGGTTCCAAGTCGGGAAGTCGAGACATACCTGTGGTTCACCAGTCAGAGACTTTATCCATAACATTTTGTTCCTATTTGAACTGAATATATTCGCTCAGTCTGACCAATAAATGTTCGGCTTTAGTAAAATACATTTTCCATATTTAATAAGAAATGGGCGAGTTGTTCATGGTATTAGTCACATTAGGCACTACCAGCAGAGCGTAAAGGATCAGCCGACACAGAGGAAGGAGTTCCTGCACCTTAGGCAGTTTATTCTATTAAACTACCAAACGTTTCTTTACTCTTCTGTAATTTTTTAGATTAGTCTCATATGAGGTTGAATCCAGCGTCTCTTGATGCTCCACCTTAAACCATCCACTGTTGGCTTCTGTTAAAGTATTAAATGTCAGTTAAGTGTCATTCTTTGCCATTTGTCTGAAAAAAAAAGGCGTCAGAGTCACTTCGGGCTCACTAGTGAACCCAAAACTCTGAATCCAGCATCTGAGTGACGCTCGGAGGGCTGCAGTTTAAATGTGTTCTCAGTGCCGACATCAAACAGGAGTCGTTTCCTCTGGAGGCTGAAGGTAAGTACACCCCGCAGCTCTTCCTCACTGTAAGCCAGAAATAAAGACGGCTGTTTGCCCGCGCTCTCAAAGAACTGAAGCTGCAGCTTTAAATTAAATCTCCACATCTGAAAGGAAGAACTTACAAAAGAAAATATGCTGTACTTTTCCCCATTGTGCTGCTCAACCTCCATAAAGTAAATGAAGACTGATCCACAGACGGCGTTGTTCAGACCGCACAGGTTGGCCTTGAGCTGAGCCAGTATGAGATTATGGAAGAAAACCTGTGTTCCATTGATGACAAGTGATGTGGTATTTATACAGCTCTGAATACTTCGAGAAGAGAAAGAAAATAAAGCTGTTCTGTTTTTTCATGCGTTTATGGGGAAGACTTTGGGGCGAGTTCCTAAAGAACAGATGGTGGTGTGAGAAGACGTTCAGCTGCTGCTGGACCGACTCAAGCAACCTTGAGCATTTTTTTCTTTCTATGTCAGAGAAAATCTTCCTCTTTGACCCCTAAAATGCAAAGCAGCTCAGTTAAGCTGCCTGCAGTTTGGAATGTTGCTTAAATTTGTGTCACGGCAACTTTTATGGGCTTCAGTAAAGATCATCTTGTTATTGTCCAAGTATAACTCTTGGTTGCTGTTTACTAATAAACACTTAATTTGTCGTTTTAAATACTTTGTCCCAAAAACAAATGATTTGAAGTTTTAGAAAATGTTTTAATCCAACCTGGTGTTTGTAAAATTCATGTAAAGAAAACTCTTCTCATCTCATCGCCATGATGGGAACAGAAGGCGGTAACATTTGCCTTTCTCAATATGCGTTCTTGAGCGTTCTCGTGACACGTCATCAGCCTCAGCCCGAGCACTGTTCCAATTGCCGAGAACGCACCAATCCCCGGATGTTGTTCTCGCCCCTCCCTCTTTATCGAGTATTCAGTCCATCATTTTCCCTTCGTAGATGTCTCTTTATGACTCACAAACCAGCTCACTGTGTGATACTGCAAGCCGCAAACATTTAATGTGTTTTATTTTCACTGTTGTGAATCAAGATTATTTTACCAGCAGGTTTCACAGTATGAACTTTGTTGTGCATTAAATTGAGATCAGCTGACGATTGAAATAAAAGCTAGTTTTTGAGAGCAATATATGCCATTTGAAATATTAAAATATGAAACTTTAGAAAAAAAAATATTATTCAGATTTAGCAGGAAAAAAATCGTTTGGGGTCACAACAGAATTTTCTTAAAAACAAATTTTTATTTATCAGTACACACACTGGTTTTGCTAATAATTGTGGGTGCCACTGATAGTAGAGAGAACCTGGTTTAGTAAGTGACGACAGACGTCTGATCTGCATGAGCTGAGGTCGTTTAGCGAGAACTGCCATCCTGCACAGCTTCAGGCCCAACTTTGAGGGTTTGTAGCTTAAGCAAACGACTAACAGCAGAATTAAGAGTCCTGATTCAGAGGTGAAGCTGGAGGAAGGCTTGGTCGCTGGAGGGGCTGTGAAGTCAGGCTGCAGGGACCTAAAGCCATGACCCAGCAAATGCACTCATGATTAGGCCAATTAAAATGGATAGCCTTGAAGTGGTTAACGCTTTAATTAGTGTTGCTGGAGCCGAAGGGAGAGACGCAAACAAGACATGAAGGAACGAGCTTAATGCAGACAGGAAAGTGTTGCACTAACCTTTATGAAAACATTTCTACTTTGTCTAAATTGAGAGAAAACATTTCTATCAAGGAATAAACAAAATTCAAAAAAGTAAACAAAATAAAATATTCCAAAATTCAGAGAACTTTTGATTAACAAGTGAATAATTTTATTTTCTCCTGATATATCTTTATGTTTAGAGGTTTACCTCTAAATTATTACTGTTACATTTTATAATATATACCCTCCATATGTATTTGTTATCCATTATTATTATTTACAGGTTTAATTTATACTAAAATGGATTAAAAACATTTCTGGGATGTTAAATAATTGGAGCAAGACATTAGACATTATCATTTGTTTCTTTTATGATTCATCGAGAGAATGCCAAGAGTGTGTGACGCAGTATTCAAAGCAAAAGGTGGCTACTTTGAAGAACCTAGAATATACAACATATTTTCAGTTGTTTCACACTTTTTTGTTAAAGTCGTAGGGAAGTGGCTGTTCCAACGTTGCATTTCCGAATTCTCTGGTGTGGTGACCGACTTAACACAAGTGTATAAAGTGAATGTCATTAGTCGCTTATAAAGGGGGGCGGGATTGTTGTGGCGAAAGATTTGCAAGCAAGTTTGATTGTGGCCAGTGTCTCGGAAGCATCTTGCTAACCAGTTAGCTAGTAGGTTCCCAATGTGAAATTCCATTGGGACCAAGTAGCACTAAATTGGTGACTTAGAAACGACACTGTCAAGGAACGCTATGGACAGAGGAAACATGCAAGAGGAGGAGAGTTTTGTGTCAGAGGTCGTGGATGAGTCTTCTTCGTCATACATTTTTTATTTAGACGAGGAAAGCGGGGATGAAGATGTTGTGGAAGAGGACGCCAGGGCGGCAGAAGCTTGGTTTGGTGTAGAAGGCTTACAGCTGTACATGTTTTTCCAACCGTTGCGTATATGAATCAAGATCCTGTGACTGAAAAACTGTGATTGACAGATGACCGTTGATATATGATTGTCTGCATTTAGGTGTACAAGCCGACATATAACTAACTGGCCTGCATAACATAACGAAAAAATAATAATTTTAAGAAAGGATTTAAAAAAAACAGAAATTTCAAAAGTTTAGGACAATGTTGTCTGATAAAGAGTAAATTTATATAGCTGTTTAAGCCAGAATCCTTTGACATCCAAATATGACTTCTCTACGACTTTATTAACAGTTTTTGTTGCATCTTTTTGCTTCATCTCAGTTTCAATTTACTTAAATTTGATGCATTTGCAACACTTAATAATAAATAATAATAAACTGTTTTGACCAGCTTCGTATGGCTGCTACCTGCTGGGTTATCTTGGCCCAGGTGGTCTGCTTATAATAATAATAATAATAATAATAATAATAATAATAATAATTGAACTTTATCGATCTCACATTGGAGAAATCTACCTCTGCATTTAACTCATCACTTTGGGGAGCAGTGGGCTGCTATGTGATCATTTTACTATTGGTAATTTCATTTATTAAGCCTATCTGGATATATTTGACAAAAGCATCAGAGTTTTGGATAAAACTGGAATAAAAAAAAAATCCAACTTGGAAAGAGGAAAAGCAGTAAAACAGGACACAGGTGATAAAGCAGGAGGCTGGATGTAAAGCTTCAACTCACAGGGGAAAGGCCTCGACAAATTAACTTTCAGGACACTGTTGACACCCAGAAGCCAATCAGATTTTCATTAACTGGCAGAGGCACAGAGGAAGCTGGCACAAGCTAATTAACCTCTGGATCTGGAGCAGGTGGAAGCTCTGGGCAGAGCCTTCAGGTCTAGAAAGGCCATCTGAAGGTAGAGGAGCTTACCTCAGCCTGCGAGCCCAACGTCTACAAAGGAGATCATTTCCCTGAGCAGAAACTGGGATTTAGGGACTTTAGTTTAAAAGTACAGAACAATGAAGGCCCATAGTGTCTATAAGTATTTCTCTCAACTAGTAATGTCAATTAACATTCAATTATTTTGGTTTTTGTTTCACTTTCTATCTCAAATTCTATTCTTTAATGTGTAATGAAATTGTATTCGATTAAAAATACTGACAAAAACTACTGACAAGTTATAAAGATGTTTTATAAAATGTAATAAAAGCTATAAAAAAAACCAAAAATGAATTATTTCCATCTCTATGCAGCATAAAGGATAAGTATTTATTTATTGATTTATTGTTTATCTTCCCTCTGCTCCAGTTTCTGTTTGTAAAAATTCCACAAATGTATGAATGAACAAACTTCAATCTACAGAAAGGAAGAAAAGTGAAATATCAACATTTTTCTTTACAATCTCAAAGCTTTTTGAAAATGAAAAGAAAAATCAAGATGCAGCTTTTCTGGGACTGAACTAATATTTAGTGGATAAGGTCTGATTCTGCTTCACATGCAGACTCCACTGGTCTCCCAGCACAGGACCACTGGATTACTTTTTAACCAGCAGGTCTTTGTTTGGTGTCTGAATTAGAGATCAGACGATGCAGATTATTCTGACACATTTTAAGCGGGGTGCGACCGAAACTGACTTGGTGCAACGACAGTCTTGTTTATGTCAGGTAGGGCTAATCCAGCTTTTATTGCCAACTGTAGTTTGTGCTCTGCTAAGCCCATAGAATGAATAAGGAAGAGACCAGTCTTGCATACACCTGCTGGGGGTTGGTGTGTGTATGTGTGATTGGGGGCAACTTTTAGGTTTTCCAGATGTGAGCCGACGTAGCTTAATTAAGTTGACATTTTGGTGAATGCCCTGGTTTGAACCCACGTGTTTGATGACATAATGAGCATTTCCTCCTGAATTATGGTCCAGCCATTGGGCTTCACCTTCACCTGCTTCACCTTCATCCTGTCTCATCATTTTCAATGACCCCAAATCAACTGAACCTCCCTAGAATAAGGTGAGAAACCTCCCTCTCATGATACCTGAGCTGTTTTACTTCACAGCTCTCTGAAAGTTTCAAACCTATCAGTCCATAAAAAGTTTCTCCTTTCATCTGTAAACTCTGGAATATTATAAAAAAATAGAGATATTCAATTCAATTAAAGATAGTCCTAAAGGAAAATTAATTGCTGCAGCAACTCATGGGTTAATTTTTCAGAGCGAAGCTATCAGATCTACTCCAATGTGCAGCCCCCTTAACCAGCGCAAGTTAGAATAAATAACATCCTGTTCAGGAGTGATGCTGTGGAACTAGTCCACACATTTTACACCTCAAGATTCTACTATTTTAATTCTTTATTATCAGGAAGTCCACAAACTATAGTTAAAAGCCTTCAGCTGATCCAAAATGCTTTAGCCAGAGTTCTCATGAAAATTAAAGAGAGAGATTCTATCTCTCCAATCTTCTCAATTCTTCTCTTCAATGGCTTCCTGTTAAATCTAGAATATAACTTAAAACTCTCCTTGTCACATATAAAGTCCTAAATAACCAAGCTCTGTCTTAGATCAGATATATTATTGTTGCTTATGATCCTAACAGAACCCTTTGCTCTCTACCTGCAGGTTTAATATTGGTTCCTAGAATTTCTAAAAAAAAAAAATGGGAGGCAGATCTAGTTATCAGCCTCCTCTCCTATGAAACTAACTACCTTTCCTTTTTGATAAAGTCTATAATTAGGCTGCTATAGGCTTAGATTGCTGGAGGACATAGCGACAACTTTTCATCATTCTGCTTCATTCTATTTCTTTTCTTCCATTCTACAATATTTGCTACTTCAATCCCTAACTTTGTCCAAAGCATTCTGAGGAGACTGCAGATTTTCTTTGAATCTTAGCGTATTTATTTATTTATTTAAATGAACCTTGATGCATAGATCTTTTGAAAGGAATGCACCATGAACAACATATCCCCCCTAATAAGGACCACTTGAACATAAACCTTCTCTTCTTCTAGCACACCCTCCCCTCCCATGTAAAAATCTCAACAGTTTTTAAATCTCTTTTCTTGTTAAATAAAGGTTCAACAAAAATACATACCAAACGTAAACTTCAAATAAATCAATAAATTAACTCTAAAGCAGTATGTAATTTCACCAGTGGTTAATGAGTTTGGACACTTCTGTGAGTGAGTAACATCTTGCTCACCATGGATCGGCGCCCTGGTGGAGGAACCGGCCTCTGCGGGGGACGAGCTCTTGGAGCGCGAGTTAAAGGGTGATTGTCTGAAGCACTCATCCAGAAATGAACTGGAACTGAGAGAAGCAGCAGCAATGTTACTGACAGCCACTAAAAAACACCCACTGTCCATCTATTAGGAGCTGTTAAAAAGCAAAAATTACAGAGTAATTTACAGATGCTGGAGCACAGGGGGAGAAACTGACCTACCTGTTTATTCCCACCATGTTACCGTCTTTGTGGTTGTTGGCTTTGCTTACTTTTTCTGGGGGAAGAAACAAAACAAACTGATCAACAACTGAATACAGCTTAATTTACCCCAGAATCATCTGTTTCTTTGTTTTGTTTTTTCTCCAGCAGACGTCTGATGGCAACCCAGACACAAACTCAAAGGAAGAAACAACAACAGCTGCAAAGGATTCACTCTTAAAAAATCTTATCAGGCTCATGTCTGCTGCTGTCGCAGATCTTCAGTCTAACCTGAGGAGAACGATCACTACTGTAAAACGTTTCAAACCAGCCATGGTTTCTTTATATTCTCCAGATTTTCTTCTTTTTAACACTTCTTTGGATCATCAGTTCTTCCGACTCCAGAACGTCTTAAAAGCTTTTCTTCAGGTATTGTTTTAATTACTTTAATTCAGTCCTATTCTATTTGACCTGGACTGCTTAGCATGTGCTTAAAATTAGATATAAAACTGGATTATTTAGGTCTGGAAATAGATTAAAGAAAAGACCAGTCAAAGAAGACGAAGCCTCCTCAGTTTAAAACTAATTTTCCTTTGTTAAACTTGGTCGTTCTCTGTAGATTCGGGAAAATATTAAGGAACTGATTGTAAACAAACTGCTGGAGCAAAACATCTGATTTGAAGCTGGTTCATTAATAAGCTGCATGTTTCATGTCGACCAGACGTTGGTTCATCCCTTCAGTTTGGGAGGAGAAAGAGGGTCCATATGTGGGGTTAACAGATGGATACATTCCTCTAGAAATACGCTGAGTGAAAGAGGCAACAGAAATCCAACTTTGAACTGTTTTTCATTTAAAGGGGCC